TTCAGAAAACGTACTCCATTTAATATCCTTTTTAGTGGTGTAATTGATTTTTTAATTACTTTTTTCGAAGCTGAAGAAATTGATGAAGGAAAGGAAAAACCGTGGTTGACGGATTGTAAGGTGGAATAATTAAAAAAATAAAATAACTTAAGGAAATTTTGAATGAACTTTTTTAATTTGTGTTCAGAAGCGAAATAGTGCAAGTGTTTACTTAATTACCAACACGACTGCAACTTATTAAAGGATTATTGAATTATTATTATTTTATTTTTACTTTTATTTTTTTTAAACGAGGAGGTTTAACGAATAAATTTAGATATCATCCCTCGGAGGGCCGGTGTTTTTGAAAAAAAGCCCATTTGTAAGTATGTCGGGTTCGAATGCAGGGCCGCTGGATTCGAACCCGGGACCTTTACCTTACAGTGATGAGCGCCGTGTCAACGGATAAACCGTTGCGGCCACCGATGCCCCCTAGCTGTACAATTATGCATATCATGTAATGAGATACAATATTATTTATCATTTGCATATATACTGAGGAGTGCCCAACCATTGTTGCTCTCCCGGCTTTCTGAATAATTAGTTATGTACTTTGAGATGTAGCCGGGCCATCGCTTCAGTCGCTTTACTGTGCTGTAGGGATGGGCAATGTTCGACTTGCATGGGGCTAAAGTTTTTTTCATGGGATGTGGAAAATTTGTAAGGGATTTGGGTTTTAACGACGTGTATTTGGAGGTCATTGTGAAGAGTAGTGTTGAAAACGTAGTAGGGAGCGTTGACAATGGTTTTGAGGACTTTGGATTGGAAGAATTGTATTTTTTGGGATTGTTGGACGGTTTAGCGGTGCCCCACAATTCTAACCCTTATGTTCAAATCGGTTTCTTTAGTGTCTTATAAAGTGTTTGTTTTTTGTTGATACATATATTGTTCTTGATAATAATTTTTTACAGTGGTCCGAAGCGTCTGTTTAATTCCTAGTCTTTCAGTTTGTATGTCGGTTATAGGTTAGACGAGAGTCGAGATAGAACTCAAGGTAGCATACACCTAGCATACACAGTTTTGGGTTAGTTGTATTATTGAGGATTATTGTATGATGGGTTTATTTATCTTAATCGTATATCTTAAGTAGCCAGAATTTGCTCCATTAGGCTTTTCGCAACCAGTGTGCCCAAACCACCTCCAAAGCAATTGTGGGATCACAATAAGAGGAAAGCACAGCCTTGTTGTCAGCAAAGAAAGCTAGGAGAGTAGAGGTTATCTGTTATCTAGAGGTTGTATTAGACGGTATATCTGAAGTAAGGATAAGGTAAGATTGGTCCGAGCCCACTGCACTGTGGCACTCCAGCTCCCAGAAGGTAATGTTCGGAGTAGACTCGGGTAACTCGTAAGAATCGTTCTGCTAGGTAGGAGCGAAGGAAGGACAAGTTTTGATTTGTACAAGAGACCCTCGAGCCACACGCGATCAAATACTGCGTCACGAAAAGAAAGGCCCAAATGCAGTTTTGTTTAAGCTCAAGGGATATGTGGTCCACCTGCTGGGTTGTGGAATGTTGAGGACGAAAGCCAACTGGTGATCTGGGAGAAGATTGAGGAAGTTTAGTGTAGGGATTGTTTCAGAAGGATATTCTGAAATATTTTGTTAGACGGTAGGAAAAAGCTCTATGGAAGGGTTTGCCGGATTTTGGGAAAAGGGTGCGGAATAAATTGTATAGATATGTGATTAGGATGGTGACATTTTTTGGGAATTCTAGAAGGAATCGGGACGTGATGAAGTCAAAGCCTTGCCATAAATGTGAAAATTTTACTTTTGAAGTACTGCTTTGGATGTGAGGTACTCGAATTTACGAAACTAACAAACAATCCCTGAGGGAGACTTTCTTAAGAGAAGAAAAGAAGAAAGTTAACAAAAGAAATGGAAGAATCAATATCGTTAATAAATAAAAGAAACTACGGTGGTCCTAAATGAGAGCCCTGTGGGACGCCAGAACAAGCGTGGGTTTTATCACATTATTGTTTTTGACCGTGTTTCGGATTACTTACAGTGACGACTTTTTGAGAGTTCATGTAAATTAAATGTAATTGAGTGTGGTAACAATAATTTTAAGTTTTGTCTTTGGGCTGTGTTAGTTTATTCATCAATTGACTAGACTATAAAAATTGTTTTAAATTATGTATTTTTTTGCATTTTACAACCCCAATCGAGGGATTATGCGTATTACGTGCTACGAGGTTATTGAAAACAGCTTGGAATGATGACCTTCCTGTAACATTATAACAGCAATTTTCGTATTTTCTATTATTCCCCGTTAAAATAATACCTGTGTTTAGGGTCAATTAATTTTGAATTTATCATAGCCAATTTAGTGATTTGATGCTTTCCTTTTTTAAAAACTTAATAAGAGGAACACCAAAGGATCGAGCAACATTACCGGGAATGGTCGTCGGGTTAAATCATCAACGATCGCTGCTATTACAGGTTTTAAGAAATATATAATATTGTTAATAATTAATTCGCCGTTGAAACACGAGCGGGAAAGGCGATTTGTTAACAAGACAGATAGTAAATAATGAGGATCTATACACCAGCATAAATTATAAATACGGAAGGTAATTAGGAATCCGCCTCTTTTTAGAGAATAAAAGTCAAGAAAAGAAAGTAAAATTATTAATTTTCTTTTATTCCTTGAAGTTACTATACTGGGTGTTCCAGTTCCTTCTGACGAAACTCAGGGAATCGATTCTACTCTTCGTTTGGAGCAAAAAATGCACAGGAGAAAATTTTCGGAAAGTTCTCTATTTTGAAGATATTCGTCAATTTAGGTTTTTTCAACTTTTCACTACCTTACCACATAAAAACGCTTACAACTTCCAAAATGTTGAGACTACAACAAATCCAATTACACTAGTTGAAAGAACGCTAAATTTGCTGTAAGATACTTCTTTGCAATAATCTGAATGAAATAAAATGTTAGAGGGTTCGAATTCCGCTCGTGACACTAACGTTTTCATCTCAAACAAGACCTTAGATAAAAAGTGTAATTAATTTTAATAAAATTACAAATGTTATTTATAAAAGAGTGAATGGTTGAACTGAGGATTACGATTTTTTACCTGAAGAACTGTTGGGATTCATGAAGGTTAGAGGATGTCGATACTGCGCGTTCATCAATAATTAATATTAATGTGTGGTGATTAGTGACCGTTAATCGATAATTATTCAGAAATCGTGAGATGCGGTCTGGTGTGATGTAGGTTTCAGAAAAACGTTTTCTTTATCGTGCCAACGTTTCGATCTTTATTGAGATCATCTTCAGGGCTCAAAGTGTTTGTCTTCTGTGTAATTGTGCCATTCTTGCGTGTCGGTTGAGAGTGCCTCTTAATAATTGCAATTACACAGAAGACAAACACTTTGAGCCCTGAAATGATCTCAATAAAGATCGAAACGTTGGCACGATAAAGAAAATGTTTTTCTGAAACCTACATCACACCAGACCGCATCTCACGATTTCTGAATAATTAATATTAATCCTCAACTAAAAATACGCAAAGTATTCGCTGTGTTGATAGTCTATCAAAGGCCTTTTGGCTCAATTAATCATAAAAAGTTGTGAAAAATCTTGCAAACTATTGTTAGCCTCTATGAGCACGCGTCGGTTGTTAATGGCGGGAATTGCACAGCGGAAAAGATTTCCGTATTGGAGGGAGTACTTCGGGGAGAAATTATGAACCCTTTTCTATTCGCACTATTTATCTCCGATATCGTGAACCACTTCGCTTCGTGTCGCAACTGGAATTCCATTGGAAAGTATTAGGGACATGATTATTCTATTGTGTTCAGACAATATGGTGTTTCAGTCGACTCCGCACTAAGACAGGAAGCCCCCCCCCCCAAAAAAAAAACTTGAACATACTAAAGGAAAAATACAGTATTCCTAATGACCTCATACTTAATATTGACCTTTGTTATTATCAATTAATTACTCTTTTATGTAAAGTTTTGGGTAAAAAGAAAAAGTTAATGTCACGAGCGAGATTCGAACCCACGACCTTCGGCTCAATACGCCGCTGCTTTAACCACTTGAGCTATCGTGAGTTCGATCCTCTCAGTACCAATTACCCATCTCAACCTACCTTTACAATTTTCCCTCCTTTTTGTCATTTTTAGAAAAAAAAAAAAAAAAGGTCGTGAGTATAAGAGAGGGAAAATTGGAAAGGTTGAGATGGGGAGTTGGTGTCCGAGTGGATCGAAGTCACGCTAGCTCAAGCGGTTAGATCAGTGGTGTATTGAGCCGAAGGTCGTGGGTTCGAATCCCGCTCGTGACACTAACTTTTTCATTTCAACCAAAATCTTACATAAAGATTAATGAATTCAAAGAAGTTATTTAGTCAATCGGACCACGAAATATAATGGGTTTGTTATTATATTTTCGAAGACTGGTAATTTTAGATCTCTGCTATCTGTTTCACACTACGTAAAGTCACTAGTTTTCGTGGTCCGCTTGACCAATTAGTATCTACGTAAAGTTATGTAATGTTTTCGCATACTTGGGATATTCCTTTCAGCTAAACAGCTAAGTTTGTTAATATGGCAAGTATTTTTTGAGCAAAAATGCTTTAGCTACCTCGGTTGTCTTGGATACTGATTTGTAATAGTGATGAATCAGAACTCTAGAAATATAATATGTGATGCTCTTTTTTTGAAACTGTAATTTTATATTAAGCAGAAATTTAGGGGCCAAGGTACGGTGACTTGCTGGAGCGGGTTCAAATGAATATTTTGAATTACTACGCAACCTCTCAAAAAATACACCCCATGCGTACGTCAGGTTGGAAACGGTAGAATATACACAGATCCTAAAATATTCCAAGTGACTGTTTTATTTTTTTAGTAATCGGCTGGCGCCTTAACAACTCGGCCAAAGCGGTCCCCAATTGACATAATTACACAAATTATAAAAATTGAATAATGAAATGTCATGCGAAAATGTCTTGCTGGTTACCTTCTGGTCTCCGAACCTCATTTGTCGCCGGGCGTTTCTCGATACGTTCATCCGGCATAGGAAGATGCGCGAGTCGTCGCCTGGGGTGTTCGCAGAACGGAGGAGTTCACCTTGAATCCCTTGATGGTCTTGCTTATCAATCATATCGTACATCGAATCCCCGTGAATGAGTAGGTCCTCCTGAAAGCAGCAGTATGCGATTGAGCTATCTAAAGAAAAAAATACTTGCCACCATTATGTTATTAATTTACAAAAGATTTTCTTTTAATTTTCATGTTGGAAACTATAACTAACTTTTGCCCAATGGATCCATCATCTAAAATAGTGTTTCTACCTAAAAACACAATCTCAGTGAAGGCTTCTACACATCTTAAAGAAACGAAAGAGGTAAAAATTAAGTAATTTATTGGGGACATATAGTCTATTGAAAAGAACTATGAAAAATAGAAAAAGTAAGCAAAAAATTTCGTTAAAAAAAATTAATTTTACGTTTGCATTTTACATGTGGGAACAGCGCACCAAAATAACGATCTGTTCAATGTAAGAGAGCTTTCGACCGCCCCCAGTTAAGCTCCGGACTTATTTTGCATATTGAATATCATGTTTACATTCGAAGTAAATAAAATAGACGTCAATTATGAAATTATTCGGATTAACAGTATTGAGAAGGATTGTACAAAATGGATGTTTACAATTAATCAAACGAAACGGGGAAAAATTGGAGCGTAGGGCTTAAAAGCGGCCAGTAAATCACAGGGAATGGGCAGTTGTATGCAGCCCCACTTAACATGGAATGCCCCAACCGAAGCTTTTAAATTGACATAATTCATAATTACACAGGACAAGTGATACGCAATTGCCCTGTAAATCTGTGTGTAAAGTTACGATTCTCTTTTCAAAGGGAAACTTTATAATTTAAATAATTGCGGGCCATTAGGACCGGGAGAGACGTACACGCGATATTGGGGGGTCACTATCACCAGTATCCTTCCCCCTAGCCATTCTATAATCCTCACCAATACCCCTTTGAGATATACGATGTGCCTTTGAACAGCTAAGAATTATTCTCATGTTAGTTTCAGCACTGATCTGATATACAAATAATCCATCCTTTTCCAAAATGGCATCTCTTTTCGTTTGTGCTTTTAGCATGTTTTACATTGCTTTTATTTCTCCTCACTATGTTACTATTTATGTGTAGGTGTTTATTTCATATTATTCATTCATGTCATTTATAATTTTCTTGTAGTTTACGATCTTTCTAGTCGGAGCATTGTCACTCAACACTGAAGACGGCGAAACAACAAAACCTATTTTTTAGCCTCAACCCCGAGGATGGATTCTACGACTTTCTACTCCATGATTCACGGTCCATATCCAATATAATATATTTGTTCTCTACTCTATACTGTTCGTAATGATAAATAATTATTATGATTTGCTATCTTGTTTGCTAGATTGCAGAAGATTTACGTTCAAGAACTGGAAATTTTTTTATAAACTCTAGATTCCTAGCGGATTATATATATCTATACTATATTTTAGTTTTCAATCAAGTCAGAGCTGTTTCCTACTATAAAGTCGAGGTCCGTACAAAATTAAAGGTTAAAGGTTTTTATTATTTTGAAAATTGTGTTTCACATTTATTATACGTATGCAGGTATCAATAAATATATATTGTTGTTTTCTAGCCCTAGAGAGCGAATATGTTTTTTCTCCCCGAATATACAGGGTGTATCAAGTTCTATAGTCTTCCGTTTAATTTGGAAACGATTAACAAATTAGCAAAAAATGGTCTTATACGAACCCAAGTTAATTTTGGCTAGGAACCGCATGATGGTAACAGATTTAACACGACTTTGTAATGACTCTAACTTCTTTAATTTAATTGAGAATCCATTATTTTTATTGTTCAATTCTTCCAGAACTTATTTTATGACACTTTTACAGAAAGGAAATTCTTGATAGGTCGACCATTTCTGGGTTATGCCCGACGGAAGACGCGTGAGTATGCTTTTTGTAACAAGATGGCCTTCTCCATTTAATTCGAAAACGATTATCATTAGCAAGTTAATTTAGGATAGAAATCGTCTCAGAATAGGGTGGATGGGGTTGCTTTTACGCTTATATTATTTTCGAAAAAAAAAGAACTCACAAAAGAAGAGAAATGATGAATAGTGGAGTGAGTGGGTGTTCAATCCTTTTTAAAAAGATACTTATAGTAACTTGTTTTGCAACGATCCGGATTTCGAGCTTTTAGCTCATCATCAGCTGTCATTGTAACAAAAGAAACAAGCATATCTGTCTTCTCGGCGATAGTATACATTTTTGTTGGAAAGCACTATATGAAATGAATACTCAGGTACGCATTATTGTACCATAGAATCCAATGATTTCAAGAGGATCAACTTAGAGAAAATAACAAAAACAAAAATTACAATGAGAGAGGTCACTACATTCGAAATTTAACTAGACTTAAAAGAACATCGATACATCGTTATTTTTAAATATATATTTACAATTAGATAATTAAACTAAAACAAAATGGAAGATAATACCATAACATGGTCAAAACAAAGTCAGAAATGGTCGATCCTATCAAAATTTTTCTTTCAATAAAAGTGACATAACATAAAGTATACGCTATAAAATGTGGGATTCTCGTTTAAAATAACAAAGTTAGTGTTATTTCCCAGCTAGATGAAAAAATATTTTAAATCTGTTACCAACACGCGATTCCTCGCCAAAATTAACTTGGGGTTTGTATAAAATCATTTTTTGCTAAAGTTAATTGTTTCCGAATTTGGGTGGACTATAGAAGTTGATATACCTGATTTCATTAACGAAATTCTTCATTTTTCTTCTTCACTTCCTTTAATAAATGCCCATTTGAACCGCGGGAAGCCGGCTCCCTTTAAAAACATTAAAGGAATATATACCGCATATATACCGAAAGAGTGTCAATAGATAAACTTGAAATAGCGGTAACTTCTGCAAAATCTCTCTAGTAGGAAGATTTTGTATAACGTTCACTCGAACGGTAACGCTAAGTTGATCGAAGTGCGCGTGCTCGGATTTAACGGAACGCAATTTGAAATAGCGTCTTACATTATTTGTCTCAAGGCGCGTACAAATTAAGCAAATCTCGGCCCACGAAAAAAAAAATCAGGCCGAAAGTTCACCAACACATTGGTCATCCTTGGCTCATCCTTCTCATCTTCAGCCAAAGGGTTCTTTTACCTGGGTTTCTAGTTAATTACTGCTTGTATGTAAATATTTTAATGTTGAAACACAAATACACATACATTCTTAGGAATTCGGGATTCATGAAAACTCGTACGATTGGAAAATTTTAACTATAAAATAAACAATTTTATTATGTGCGATATTTCGACATACATAATATTATTATTTAAATTTGACAATATTTCCAACAAAAAACTATTTTGTTGTCTTTACCGTCACCCGTTAACAAGCACGCTATTCTAAGAAAAATAACGTAGTACGCTATTTCAGATAGGGTTACGTTAAATATGCGCATGCGCACTTCAATCAATTTGGCATTACCGTTCATGTTGACATTGTGAAAAATGTGCCTTTTGTTTATAATGCAATGAATTTGTAACATTTGATTATTTTTAATTTCACAAAGGTGGACTTGTAACGATCGATAGGTAAGGTGAGGTGTTTAGTATGTTGTATTGTAACTGCTCTGTCATCATCGAGCGGTTAATTAACCAATAAATTCAATATATATTGTCCAATAATGGGTGGTCAACTTGCTACAGCGGGAAGAGTTGGAGAAAAAATCTACAATGTGTATAATGGTTGTCGTTAATGGGAAGGCTCCAATTGGATAGTGTGTAGAATTATTTGCATACCTAACATTTGAAAAATCCAGGGAATTACAATGGATATGGAATGATAATGTGGAAAACGAAACTAATCGACCGATGGAACATAAATTTTTGAAAGGAGGGCACCCGAAGAGGGAGGAACGTGTTTATAGAATCCGGGTTGCCGTTATGATCGGGGCGAAATGTGACAGGTGCCCTGAGGAAGACATCAGAGCAAACAGTGGGAGGGGCACGTTGTAAACACTGTGAGAAGTCCCCCGGGCCCCTAATTCTCCATGAAAGTAATGAGGGGGCCCACCCAGAGCTAATCACAAAGCCAGCACATCATAAACCTCCCGCCTCACTCCGCAATTAGACGGACGGGCCCTCCTCTCACCCTACTCGTCCAGGCAGGGGTACAGAATTTCGTTTTATTTCGCGAAATTGAATTATTTTTGAAATTTCCTTTCGCATTAGATTTTTTCTGACGTTTTGATTACTCTTTAAGTTTAATTTAAAGTGCATTGCTCATTCGAAGTCATTATCGACTTCATTCATAACTGGGAATCAAGTAAACTTTGATCAAACATGTGATGTTTTGATGACATTGATGTTTTTTCGATACTGCGTTAAAAAATATTTTGCCCAGTGACAATCAGAATTTCTAAAAGATAGTTTAAGACTGCGTAGAGATTTTGGACTTCGTTAAGACCATGGACCTTAGATTTGTTATAAAAACAAATTTTGTTTCGCACAACTTTTAGTGCGAAATGGTAACTTTTGGTTGGTACTAAATTAAAATATTTTCAATTTTAATATCATTAAAAAATCATATTATTGAAACAACGTATGTGTTCAATACATGTAATAATAATAAAGTGGGAGGTTTATGGGCCGACAAACAGCTGAGGTCATCGCCGGCCCTCTGCGTGTTTTCCTTCTTTTTCTCTTCTTTCGCACGTATTTTGTTTTAAACTGCAGTCATTGGGTACTACGTTGATATACTAGAATGCTAGTCTCTCGTTTGTACCTCAGGTTGGCAAATACAGAATAGAAACAAAATATACAATAAAGATATACATCACCACAAACATAGGTGTCTGGTCACATTTACTCCCCCAGAGTACTCGATATTCCTCGGAGTGGGGTTATAAGCAGCCCCTTCCTTTCGCGCTAATAAATTACTTTTACTATTCAGACGTGATAACTCAACCCAGGAGTACTAGAATACATATAATAATAATAAAGGAGAAATTAAAAAATAATAAAGGGGTACTACATTGAGCGGTAAAAAACTTAATATAGGGATAGGGGTAAAAGAGGTGGCCACAAGGCCTTCTGCCC